CTTCGATTTTGTTTGCGTCGCTCCTCATTACTCATTTTATAGACGCGTGAGGTTTTGTTCTTTAGATATACGTGCTTTAAATGGTTTCAATTTAAGAATTGTTAAGAAAATATAATAAAGTAAGGCCTTTCTAATTATTTAAAATTTTGGAAACAAGGATGTTTAAAATGACATGGCACATGTCATGACCAAGATAAGGAAACAAACTGTGACTTGGGAAACAGATGGTTATTCTTATCTGAGGTAATCCTTAACACTATACCGAAACCTTCTATTCCATAGAGATCGGACAGTGCCGTGAAAATTTCAGAAAAAAACTCTTTTAACTTCCACTTGGATTTTTCTTGAAGAAAGCAGTCTTCTGGGATTTCATCATGGTCACCGCCGTGAAAGCTTCAAATCTTACATGGATTTTTCTTGTTTATTATAGTGTACGAAAGAGTGCCCTGTAATTCCAGAGGAACAGAGAAATCTGTAGTAGATATCACTTTGAAAAGTGTTTCTGTGAATACATGAAATAATACTGAAAATTGGAGGGTGAGCAACAGCCCTGAGCTACTCACATTTTGAGAAAATGCAATTTCCAGAAGCTCCCGGGAAGTGTAAGGATAAAGGAATTCCTGACATATATAGAAGCCAACAGAGGTTTCCAATTCCGTGAGTTTTGTGTATTCTTAAATAAATCCAATTCTTTTATAAATATTTGTGTCATTTACAAGAGAAAATTTTATATAAGCAGAGGGTCCTCTCATATTTCTAGGCTTGGGTTTACAAATATATTAGATTTACAGAGGAAAATATAGTAGTTGCCATTACTTGAAATGTTTTATAACAGTTTGTTCAAAAAATAAACAAATGCTTCGAAGAGACCCTTCCTGTTTGATGTTGCCCTGACGAAGCAAATGAGTTCCATTCCTTGGGCACTTGGCCCAGGTATCGCAATCTTCAAAGCAAGGACACAACAAGGAAAGACCTGAATGGAAAATAGTCATTTTGTATACACGTATATTCAGTATGTAATGTGGAGTTTATTGTCATTAAATCTGAATAAAATTCTCTTAACAATTAATGTTTCACAGCCAGAGATTTTGAAAAATGTAGCCCATTTTCGACTACTCCAACCTAACCGAGTTTTGGAATATCCCCATAGGTTCAAATGCCATCCCGGTTGCCCGCATGTACATCTCTGTATTTCCGAATTTGAAAAAATGAATTTGTTAACGCATTTTTACGCAAATGTATTACGAACATAAAATCAGAACCTACATGCTCAACGTACCGTTCACATTCGAACGATTAGAAATAAAACGTGGTGACGGACGAACCCGAAATTAAGGAGACTAGCGACACAAAATTCAGCGTCCTGATCTTCAGCTTAGAGGAGCAGATTTTGGAGAAATATGCAATATTTAGAGAAGTAACCCTCTTGTAGCTTCTGACGTAAGAAATTTCCTTCAGTTCGAAATCGTAATTATATAACAGCTTCAAATCTAGCAGCAGAGAAAAGCGGAAGTACGCTTATTGTTGATTAATTCAGACACTATGATAATATGAAACCATTGCATAATATATTGTCTTCGTGTTGAAAACTCGGATTATTTCGAGGAAGGAATTTATATCCAAATAAACCAACAACTTAACTCTCTTCATCAGTGTCGATGCCCTGGAATGGATAACAGTAGACACACGTCACGTCACGTCACGTCACGTCACGTCACGTCATGTCAAGTCACAGCACTTCACGTCATGTAACGTAACCAGATATAAACATTTGGTATATTCAGAATTTTGATAGCCACTTGACTGTTCCAGAAATGGTCCCATATATGGGGTCAAAGGCATCTACACAAAGTACTCATGCTATGTCCCTTAGTTCCATCTTCAGGAACATCTACAAAGGACCGATCTCTCACTGAAATGTCGTTTTCCTTCAGGAGTTCTGATTATATTTGGTGTGAGCCTCACATATACCCCATGCCTGCTACATATTCCACCACATCCCATAATTTGATAAGCCTAATAATATGTAGAAAAGACAAAAACGTCGTCTGTATTGGAGATATGCTTGCCAAGTGGGATGTGTGATTTTTCTAAAGTATTTATGCAGTCCTTTGCAAGACGTACAGTATATCCCCAGAGTAAACACACGAAATTTATGTTTTCATCAGCCTGAAAGCAAACGATCATCTGGCTGAATCATCCTTCAGAAAATTATTTTCATATATATTTCTTGAGCATTTACTGACAAGGTCACTTGTGGAATTTTCTTGACAATAATGTTGTTAGATCTGATTTGAAGAAATTAAAATATTTGTTGCCTGAATGGATTCAGAAAGGAAAGCATTTATACCAGCCATCCGAAAAAATTATCATTTACTTCCAGAGTGGATACTTGATGAACGAGGGTGAGAATTTTGCCAGTACACAGCGGAATATCCTCATAGATTACGGCGTGCTTTTCTAAGCTTACATTCGATGAAACACTAACAGTTTGCATTTTAGTGCAGACATATGAAGCTGTATGACGTAGGAAATGCACATCAGCACGGAGTACATAAACATAGATTCCAGGCGTACTTTCCTTCTAAACATCAAGAAATTTTCGCATCGGATTCGGTCCAATTCGCCCATAACGACCTGTATGTGTTGATGTAGACATAGCATAAATTGATGGGATAGGATCCAGATCTTCGAGTTGAAACCAGTCTCACTGGCTATGATAGATTTTTCCATTCTGGCAGCTTGTAAACACTGTCGAAGTGCTTAGAACGAAACAACGTCTGCCTTACATATATCAGCAATTGAATGGTCTTGTTGGGTTTTGGAACCCTGAGAGTATGTTTATGGCAATGAGTTAGGCAACGAACAGCGGACGCTCCATAGCGGACATTAAAAGAGGAGAGAATATCGTAAACACATAACAGAACATTTGTCGTGATTATCTGAAAACACTCTTCAACTAGATCTCTTGCAGTGCATACATTGCTCCACAGAGGTTTTGTTGCTTGAAAGTTATCCTGGACTTAGCTGAGAGACAGTTTGCTGTGGTTCTGGTGCATAGTAGGACATGGACATAAATACAGGAAATTCGGTGCCATCAGATAACGAAGAACCTCCGATTTCAAAACAACATGTGAGTACAATAGAATAGAAATATTCCCCAAATTCTAATTTCTTTGCTTTCATGTGCAAACAAGACAAATTTCAATTTTGACAGCAGAAAGGATAATCTTGGAAACTGTGGAAATTTGAATATTTTTCAGAAATACTGCAGAAAATAGACAGTCAATTATTTTCTATATCAGGGGTTGCTCACAGTATGCAATCAAAAATACATGCAGCACAATTATTAAGAGGCCTCTCTCAATTTGCCTCTCATTCACTTACGTATGAAAACAAAGACACGGGTCAAGGAGTAAGAAATAATTATGAAATGATCGAACAATATTTTCAAAAAACTTAACAGATACTCAGCATATACAACATTCGTGGTGATATGGCTTCTTTCTATACGTGAATTGAACATTCTGTCAGGTAGTATACGTCTGACTATACACGAGGTGTGTTTCGGTGAAGAGATATATTGACTAAATACCTGTCATGACTGCAATTAATATAACACTATCGCTATTTCCGCACTTTATATTCTCTAGAAGGCAGTATAGTTTTGTGCGTCGGTTTTTGGATGTTCCTTGGTAAAGGCTGCAAAATGGATATTAGTCTGCCTGCAGCTCAAGTAATCTCTTCACAGACCTCATACAGAACCGACTTTTATCTGAATTTGTCTCTTGCTTGTGACATTGGAACTGGACCAATTAGAAAACGAAGCTCCATCAATATTTCGTACATTTCTTGCGTTACTCGTATTAAGTAACTGCTACCTAAGAACGGGAAAGTGGTAACTGACTTACTGCCCAGAAATAACCCTGGTATGTACAGCCATCTCGCGGTCGTTGCATAGTCACATCTCTACATGTTATAGTAATACTTCTTATTGTGTTTACATTAATGTCACCAACGTTTTGGTTTAAAAAATTTGCAAAGCTGCTCTCTTGAATAAGTAAGTAAGCTCTTATTTTATGAATTAAAAGTGTAAAATTGCGAATATAATTCAAATGTAATATCGTAGGAAATGATTGAAACTCAGATACAAAGATCCGAAATAAAAGGAAAGAGAAGTGTGAAAAACTCAAGATGGCCGCTCATATCTGTAAATGTGAAAGGAATGAAATTTTATTGTACGAACAAGATGACTTGCCCGCGTTTGGGAATAACTACGAACATTAAATCTGGATAACCACTATGCTCCGTAAGAGGATAAATTGAACGGTGTTGTGGTTAGAAAGAACTTCATATTTGTGAGGTTCCGAGTTCACGTTTTGGAAAGGAATGAAGCATCTTTGAGCCAAGGTTCCCCTATATTGCTCATTCCCTCCAAGCAAATGACGACACTGCCTCTACATTTTATAAGTTATGTTCCGATCTGACGCTTCTGAAAATATCAGTGTTTAAGAGAGGAATAAAAAACAGTAATAATTATACAAACATTGTCATCATTTTAGTACTTGTCAAGAAATGCCAAATATTTTGTCTGGGCCAGCGGTCTGACGTAACATACATAAAGTTAAAATTCTTGTGCTACAGACAGTCTCAGGTTTATTTCGTGAGGACGGACAAAATTATTTATTCAAGGCAACGATATATATTAAATTAATAATCGTGTCTATTTACAAAATGAAGGGCACGCGGTAGCGTAGTTGGTGAAGGCATTATGCTACTAACCTGGAGGTGACGGGTTTGGGTCCCAGTGAGGTCATTGAATTTTTCCAGTTTACGTAATTCACGCACCCGCACTATATATCTGGGATCAACTCTGCGTCTAACAGAAATGAGTTTTAGGGCGGTCAGGTAGTAAGACTGACAAACTCAGTACCATTTGAAAGCTGATTGTCTAGAAGATGTGGGATCCTGGATGTCCCACAAACTTTTGGGCTTCCACCGGCTGTTGCAGGGATAATTTTCCCAATTTTACTTAATCCATTCAAACAAAATCATATTTAGAATTTTTACAAACTTGTCGACATTCGTACAGTTATTTAAACGTAGACTTGAGGTGCAAGTTTCGTATAAGGACGAGAATGTTCTGCCTTCCAATGCAGGAAACAGATGTGAATATGTCGAAATTTCGCTCCCTTCTCTATCACTGTGAAAAATTATTGAAGCAGCAGCAACAGCAACAACCAAAATTCTCGAAGGTATCATCATTTTCACCAAAAATTGCAACAAGGGACCCAGTCCTCATCATGGCCGCCAATACTTCACGTACGGGAGAACTGGCCTCGGATTCCAGTCTGAATAACCCAATACTGGAAGCTCCTTCAGGCATCAGTCCGCTGCCCTCAACCTCGCACTCAGAAGAGCCACAGCAGGTCAACAAGGTCACACACAGAGGGGTAAGCTAGTTAGCTCTTAGCCTACTACTTAAGTAGCGGTGTGGTGACTTATTGCACAGGTGACGGCAAAGAATATGTACGAGTATATATA